GGCGCACACCCCCTAGGCTGCCGCTGCCACCACCTCGCTATTTTTTTCTCTCTTCGTTCTGATAATCACCGTGCAAATCCACTGAGTGATTGGTTATGTTTAGAAAAAAAGAAAAAATACCTATGGTCTAATTTTTAGTATGTTATGACAACAATTTCTAGAAAAATTGTGAATTGTGTGATAGGTTTCCTGTGGTGATTTTGAAAAGCATAGATTTATTTTTCGCACTCTTTCCCACACAAGGGTTCCATGAAAGGGAAGCCCTTATAAATCAACTTGGTCTAGTTTCATAAAGAATAACAAGTTCGTTGCCAAAACCTTAAGGTCAGGAAATTTAGACCAGATCGATACGAGTTTTTGTTGCATTACAAAATAAGATTCGTATGAAAATTAAGATCGCATTTGTCAACAGACTTGACATTTTTTCATAAATATAAGTGAAAAATATCGTTAGGCAAAGTTGAGTAGGGTCGTTTAACAGTTGCCTCTGTCCGGACAAGACAACTTTTATTTGTTCTTGTATTATTTTCCATATGCCATGAGTCATAAAACGTTTTGAAGAAATAAAGCATATAAAAAAAGTTGAGTCCTAAATGTGTGTATATTTGTCGTGTCATATACTGTTTATTATTATTATTCTTATTCTTCTTCTTCTTCTAGCGCACGAATGAAAACCATTTCCACAACATTAAAGTTATCGTATGCATTAGACGGAGCAAAGACATTACTTTGTAGATCATGACATCATTTAAAATGTATTAAAGGAAAAGAAAGAACAAACCAACCTTGAGGTGCACGTTGCACTTACATTACTTCATTTCTTGTTCAAAAAATAGCTTCTTTTTTTTTTCCTAAATATCATAAACTATTTCAATGGACAGACAGACAGATAACTGTCGAGATCAATGACTAAATCCAATCTACTCTATATCCATTTTACCCGAGTTACTCTAACCTGTTTATAAATCTAAATTATTCCCTGTGGCGATGATTATACAACAAGAGTATCTATCACTCATATTACAAAAGTGTGTGCAAATATCCACCTAAACGGAAATAACTGGAAGGTTTTTAATGGCATTTGTGCATAATACCATGAACGAGTGTAATCGTTTAATTAGAAAGAGTTGAGGGTAAGGTGCACTCTATGGCTAATTGTCACAGTGCGGTACGCATTCGAAACATATTGTCCTCTTTAAGGAAACAAATGATGGATTTGTTGTGACAACACTAATACAATAGCAACGGATTTTATTGTATTCATTAACGTGACAGCAACAAGACTGTCGCCAAATACACAAAAAAAGGAAAAAAAAAAGAAAAAAAAAAACAAAGCAAGAAACATAACCTAACTAACGTAAGCATGAACGAAGGGTTATATTAGTCTTTATGCATGTTCATGTATAAGTAGTTAACTGTAGGTTTTTTGTTTTATAATGGGGTGTAAACTATGTACTAAACAATATATGCATTATGGACTTTTCGTGTTATTTAGAACAAATGCAAAACAAACACTAAAAATGTAAATCAATAGAACTAACGGTGGTTGGTGGTGAGATTATTTTTTATATACATTTTTTCTTATTCATGCATACAAATACTTTTTTCACTTGTATCTCTCGTACCTCTACGATATGTTGGGTTTTATCAATTATGTACTTGGAATGTGCAGACATATTTACCGACAATCTCCTTATCTGCTTGAAAAGTGGTCATGTTGGCCTTTCTTTATATGTCTGCCTGGTGATATTTCGATTACAATCAGAAATTCAAGGTTTTTTTTTTTTTTAGAAGAACTATAACTTAATCGTAAGTTCTTGTCTCAACACATTTGATCATTTATATCCCATATAGGCAAACCCATGGGATTTCTTTTAGGTTACAATACAAGTGAAATTTTATTAAAAGAAAATTTATAAAAATTATTCTACAAAGTCGCTGAATTACCTGAATCAATGCAATAATTGGCCGTACACGGTCTTGCTGTTACTTACCTGAAAAATAAAAAAAAATATATATAAGAAAATGGACTTTTGCTATCATACTTTAATGCTACATAGTCGCCTGGTTTTTGTTTATTAATACAAAACAAGGCTTAAAATATCGGTTCCTATTAAACACTTTGACATCATTCCCTAGGCAACGGCATAATAAAAATTATTATATAAATTGTAAGTATGTAGGACACAGTTACGACATATGTTGTCATACTAACAATTATATGAGCGCATAATATATTCCATAGGCTTACCGGTGATTTTCTCGTCTGGAACTGAGGGATGAATGCATGTAGGAAATTGAAAATCACTATTTCGGACACGTTCGCCATGCACACTACCTTTTCTGTAACTGTTCAGGCGAAGTTAATTTTCTTTTAATTCAATTTATTATGGGAGTATTACAAAACGCCCAGGAAGATCAAGATGTATATAAGCAATAAGTTCTTCAATAGGTGTATGTGATGCTTAGGAACTATCGTTAGAGCAGATAATTTTCAGAAAAAAAAAAAAAAGCTAAAAGCGAGAAATCTCATTACCGGCCTTTTACATGTCAGCATTAAAAGACAAGAAATCTTGCCAGCGCGGTATGCGATACTTGGGGTTTTATTTGTAAAATATCTGACGACATTCACAAATGTTTTATATAAGATAAGTGTTTAAATAAAATAAATAAGTGATGATAATTTGTGTAGGCAAGATTACTTGTACATATTTCGCACAAGAGAACAAAAACAAGCAAAAAGATGTTTAAAAATTCGTCTCAAACTCAGTTCTTGCTTGTTCTTCTTTATTATTAAATTATGTTTCTAAAGTTTTGCATGACAAGTTGCATTTTTGTTTTTTTTGTTTTTTTTTTTTTGCACAAACTCATGTCTCTTACCAACGGTACATAAGAAGTCATGATGTAATCTTGGTTCAACAAACTTTCCGCATGTAAGGGTGGTTGTCTATTTCCATGACATCTTTATAAAAAAAAAAAAAAAAAGAAGGAAATTAGAATAACAAGAGAAAAAAAAAGGCGATGAAAATAATAACATTTTACTCGGTTTTGCCGAGCTTTATTTCTATTTCTATTTTTTTTTTTTTTTTTTTGGTTTTTTTGGTTTTTTTTAGCAATAAGTGCATCGCTGTTGGTTGGAATAATTTGAAGAGTTAATTACTGCAAGAGTAGCACCACTAAATGAAAAATGGTTAATCGTCGAGAGAAAATCTATTCAAAAACTGTTTATCATCTAATATGGTATATGTGCAATTTATGTCTCCCTTCCCCTGAGTCGAAATGGTGACATATAATCTACAATCTATCTGTAATTATAACTGAAGATAAGCGCTGTGTCCTAATTGCAGCACTTACAAAGCGCAAAGAATTTATGAAGCATACGCTTCAGTATATGATAAATGATTCATTATAGCCACATCTCTTCATCTCTCTGCTTAATTGTTTATCCAGTGATGCAGGATATATTAAGTTGACGCATATCTTTGGGACATCCCGCATGTCTTAAGGTAGATGTAACTAACTTTTCTTATATCAATCGTTTCAAAATCATTTTCTGAATTGATTTTAGCTTATTTGTCCGTCCATCTAAACTAAAAGTCAAACTCTTTATGATCTTGGTCCAAGATCGAATTTTCGTTGAAACGAATTTTCTTCACAATTACTCCTCGTATAATACCGTACTGTCGTCATGTGAAAAAAATTACAATTTTTGAAACTCGAACTACTGACAGAGTCTATAGAAGTGTTACAAACCGAACGACAAATCCCTTTGTTGTGGATTTATGTTCATTCTTCGCGTCACACACTTCACTATTGAAGCGTGTGAATGCAGAAGTATTCCCCCCTAAGCGAAAAGTTCCAAGCTAAAGTTGAAAAAAAAAAAATAAGTGACAAGGACGGAGACGATCATTTTCATTACTTATCCCACTCTGCAATAATATATTCGACTTTTTTAATCGCGCTTGCTTCCTTTAATGTCGTCGTTGCTGCGTTTAGAAATCGATATAATGCAGAAAAGTGCGAAGCGACGTAAGAAAATCGACGAAGTAACTACTAACATGTCAAAATGGCGTAATTAGACAAGGCCGACCGTCAACCATTTTACTTAACGCATCACTTTACCTACTCTTGCCATAAAGTTCTGAAAATTATAACTTGTTGCCTCGTAATGATTCGCTTTTCATAAGAACCCGAAAAATAGAGCCATGCAGATCCAACTTACCACAATGAATTAATTTTGTACTTATTTAGAATCAGGTCCCACCATAAAATTATATAGGAAGAGGACGAACCGGGGAGTTTTCGTGTCCGACTGTCCAAGTACTATTTGTTTTGCTCTTTAGCGAACTACCCTAACAATGCGGACTCTAAAACCGTTCTATGGAACTCATTTCGCTTTCATCTTGCGTCGAAAAATCTCAGAAGTCTAATGTGATATATGAAAAATGGCAAATATTTACGATATGAAAATGGCGTATATTTCGCTTATGATGTTCACTTAAAATATGTGAAAACTACGTTTTCATATTTCGTGAAAAATCGTAACGAAATTTTTCTTTTATTTAATAATTTCAAGGCTAGACATGAATTTTTTTATTATAAATATATACATACATACATGCATAATGAAAACTTGTTACAGCTTTTGAGGTCATTAACAGTACATTATGCTAACTTGATTGTGTGACGCTGATTGCTCGCTCTTATAATCAAGCAATCTTGTGAACTTGAAATTTCTCTAGTATCGCATCATAGTGGAAGGCATTATTGTTATATGCATAATAATCGCATTGGAAATGTAAATCGCAGACTTACAAAAAACATGTTGTTCGATTCCCATAGGCGTGAAATATGTGGAGTTTGATGTGAAAAATTTAAGCTTTCTCGCTTCCATTACATATGAATAATGAGAGTCAAAAAAAACAATATATATATATATATATATATTAATTTTAATATTTAATTTAATAATACATTTTTTGATTTATTTTCTTATATAGTTTCATGAACTAATCAGAACGGATCCAGTTGCTAATTCAACTTTACAGTTGAGATCTTGTACATTGTTTGTGCCCACGAATGCGGCTGTACGCAAATATAACGGAACCATATTGGTGTCCTATCATATGGGTATGTATATTGAAAGAGACTTAAAAAATTCAATAACACGATTTTCGTGTCTTGTATTATTTTTGGTAAAAATCCATGTTCCAACTACAGCGAGTTAATGCGGGCCCACTTTTCGTCATTATTATAAATAGTTGTCAATTTAGAATTATTTTCTGAATCGATTTAAGATTATCTATCCATCTGTCCATCTGTCTGTCTGATGTCTGCTCATACATTTCTTTGTCCAACCTGAGCGATGCAAATTTCAAAATGCTTTAATCATATTTATACATAGACATGTTTTGTTACGATCGTTCTCCACATGACGCCCTGTTTTGATAATCTCATTATATACATTTCCATTCTTAATATGTCAATGCAAAAATCGGTGAAAAAAAGCTATTGAAATAGATTTCTAGACTAGAAAGAAAGCATTGAGCACAATCAACACAGGCTACCATCTCTATCATCGAAAAGGAAATTGGGTCTCGAGCGTAGTAGGTTTATTAAAGTAATATATTGCATTTATATTGCACTCTGTTGCCGATTTCACGAAATGCATAGGACGAGTTGTTTCAAATGCAACTCTTCTCATAAAAGATAAGTTCACGCAGTCACAAAGAATGTGCTTTAGTATCCGCTTAAAGATCTATTGATGTGTTGCCGTCGTACAGCCAAGATGAATTCTCGTAAATGTTTTGACCTTGATTTTGTTTTTCTCTATATTTATTGGATATAAAGAAGGAACTAATTGAGCGTTAACAGAGGAGTAGTGCTGATGACAGTATTGTAGATTTCCTTTCATTCTCTATAACGTTTCTTCTAATATATCTTTGATGGTCCAGCTTTTCCATGACCATCATCCATAATTAGAGATGCAGAAGCAGCATACTTTGTCGTTCGATCATCTTGTTCCTCTTGTTTCAATAAACTGATATGACTTGGTAATTTTATCGCCGCAAGTTGTAATGATATTCTTTAATTTGTTAATGGTGCTCCACCTCGAGATCCAAGGATTCCAAATAGCTTTTAACACAAGACAAGCTATCAGTAACGATGACAATTTGAGATTGTCTTTATGAGAAAGGTTTATAGCGTGAAGGATAGCTCGCACTGCGGTTGTGAAAGCTGAAGCATTTTTGGGAAATATGTGATTAAGAGGATCCTGCCCTGAAACATCTGCCAGGTCACAATCCGTATATAAAAGATGCCAACCATCACTCTCCAGCGTTTTAAGTTTTTTCACCAATTAGATTCCTGAAGACGTAATTGGAGTATCTTCTCTCTTGTGCGTAGACAGTGAAATGTCACAAGAATAGCCCTTCAAAACCCATGATGGTTTAAAGCTAAAATCGCGGAAATATTTTTAAGGGAATGTTTAACTCCTTTGCGACGTACAGACAATAGTTGATTGCGGATCGCGACTTTTCGCGAATTTTCCTGGTAATAATAGCACCGAGAATAGATTTTGATGTTTGAGTTAAGAAACTTTGGGGTGATTTTAGCTTTTAATTCATAAAGTCTATTTTTTAAATCCGGGTGACCAGTTTCAGTCATGATATAGCAACTTGCTCTAAGAGCTTGATGATAGTCCGGTTTAAGGATGCTGACATTAGATTGCCGCAGCTACTGCCATAAACCATAGTTGAACTTAACTGCTTAAAATAGGCATTCTGCTATGATGAGCAATAATGGTGATGTTCGAAGGGCTTTTCCAAGCCACGTATTGTATGAAATTAATCCTTGTTAAAATGCAAATTTTTTAACCGAAGACAGTGTGATTTCCAATGATATTTGTTGAAGAACGTGGAGAAGAGTACTTTTTTCGTAAGATTTGGGAACTGATGATAAATTTTCCTTTTTATTAAGTTTCCTTGTTAACACAGCGCGGAACCGGCAGAGCAAAAATATCGCGCTCGTGAAGATAGTGCGAATTAGTATTTGAGGAGGTCTGAAAAATCTATTTTTGCGAAAATTAAGAACACGTGCTGCAGCCCTTCTGAAACAATCCAAATTGAGCGAATGAGAAAAACTTAATTGGGCTGGAACCATTTTTAAGTCCCTCCTGTCGGAAATTCTTACACAAAATAAACCTTGACGTTGTTTATGGCAACAGGATCTAATTTGCAGCATTTCAGAATGGAAATTACATTTTTTTTGTTGTTTTTTTACAGTTGATGTACGCCCAATGGATATGTATGTTGCCTTTGTTGACTTGATTGAACACTCACTATAGCTATGACGAATGTATTTTGTAAAAGATTATCCAGAAAAGTCGGCTTTTATATAACGAAAAAGTGGCACACACACTAGTCTGCAGCCACCATTAGCTCCCTATTCTTTTCAAACTCGCTTCCTTCTCTCCGTCGCGGCATTGCGCGAATAGGCATCTCCTGAGTGATTGGTCACATCAAAGAAAATGTGTGAAATAAACTAGTGTAACGTATATAACGTGCGGCCTTGCCAGATTACAATTTATTTAATTTAATTTATTTCATTTATGAAAAGAGTTTTTTGAATATTTTTTCTTTTCATTCATAGCTACGGTACCCATGACGGTCAGGCAATTAACGAAAACCATTCCATCAGATTTCGAAGGCAATCCTTTATTGTATATTACCAGAAATCGTAAGGGTGAAGTTTATGTTAATAATGCCTGGATTAATCAAACTGAATCTACGGAGATTGTTACGCAAGAAAATAAACGACAGGTCAAAGAGAGCAAAATGAAAAAGAAAAACATCAAATTACTAAATTAAAATTTCACATCTACCATCGCAGGTGATGCATGTTATCAATGATGTTTTGGTTCCGTTAACCTTACTGCCAACAGCCCGTACGCAGGTAACAAATCCAAATGCATGGGAATTTTTGCAACAATCGGATCTATTCGATGTTCAAGAAAATCGTTTAAGGTTAATTATTTTTCATTGTTTCACTTTCTTGTTGTTACGATTAAGTTTTAATTCATTTTCAGAACTTATCGCTCGCAAGTAACTTTAATGCGGAAAGAGAGTTTGTATCAATCGCCTGGTGGCCACACATTTTTTATACCAGTCGATGAGGGTTTTAAGGTAAAATTTAAAGCAAAAAAAAACTTACAAACAGAAAACCCATGTCATTTTAATGCGGTTTTTCATATTTGAAATTGTACGAGAAATACACAATGTATGCGAAACAAGACTATGTAAGGACAGACAGGCATGGGTGGATTGCTTCAGAATGTAGTCTTCACGTATTGTACAACTTAAGTGGTACAGAATATAAAAGTTTTTCTGATCGACCCACTAAATAGGACATTGATAAAGGTTTTCCGTATTCTTCCGAGGTTGTCGTCAACACTGAAATGTTTTAGACATTCTTGTAAATGCCTATGAGGACCAATTTCAAATCTTAATTGACTGATTGCAGGAAAAATGCCCAACATTTCAACCAAAAAATTTACGGACGGACGGACGGACGGACATAGTTAAATCGATTTAAAATCTTGTAGTGATTAGGAATCGTTGTACTTACGGAAATCTACTTTATTCCGATTATTAGAAGGTTACCACCTTTGCTTTACAAGTACATGTAACTAAAAAGCTTGATGCGTGCTTCTCAAATGTCATTTCAAATTGAGGACAGTCTGAGTTTTCATTCGAGATATTCTTTATTTAAGCAAACAACACGCAGCAGCTTGGTGGACAGAAAAGTGATCGACGGCCATGTAATATTGAATAGCGTTCTGTTTTCGGCCGCTCAGTCTACTGAAGATACTCATACCACTGCCGCTTTTGAGGATAACATTAAGGTTACTGTCAATTTTTATTACGATAATGACAAGAAACGTAAGTTAGAATTTAGTTTATTCCCCTTTTTATAATCTACCCTTAGATATTTTTGTTTTTTCCCCCTATAAAGTATATGTGAAGTCAAATACATTGGTTGGTGATTCTAAGCATTCGACTGGCGTAGTATTGGCTCAAGTACTTAAAGCCAATATACCTGTAAGTAATGGTGTCGTACATCTCATACATCGACCATTGATGATCGTCGATACAACGGTTAAACAATTTTTAGAGGTAAGTTGAAGTATTTCATAATGAAATTATAATAAAGCTAATAGCAATATAAACACATACATACATAAGTAAATACATACCAACCAAGCAACCAACCAACCAACCAACCAACCAAACAAACAAAACACATTAAGCTTTTAGGTGCTCAGCCTGCAGAATAATTAATTAAAATTTTACAGACATTTTAAAGTAATATTAATTAAAATTAGTAGACGATAGATAGATAGACGAAAAGAAAATGCAATTGAATTTAAGTAATTTTTTTTCAGGATTATATAATGCCAGGCATATCTATCTCAACTGACTTAGGTTAAAAAGGATACATTAAAAAAACAAATCTATTGTACGTATACATATGCAGTCGAAATATTAGGCGAAAACTGAGGTTTGCGTTTAATACTAAGCCGATTATATGACAACATATTTAGCATTTAGATTTTTGTGTTATGTGTTAAGGGTTTACCACTGCCACCGCCAACCACTACTACCACTACCACTACCACTACCACCACCACCACCACCACCACCACCACCACCACTGCCACTGCCACTACCAGTCACACACGAAAGACTTTGGTTTTATTTGAGTCTTATATGTTATTTTCTATTTCGTGGAGAAATGAAAATAATTTTAAAATGAAATGTTTTTACACATTTTAACATAACTAACTAATGAATGTTATTTATATCTGCGCTTAAGAGTCTTAAAAAACCAAAGTTAATACACAAAATATACGGTCAACGTTGACTGTTCTTTAACCTAACACTAACTAGAGAGACAACCTAGCCTTTCAATTCAAAATCCCAATGACTGATTTTACCTTGAACTTTTTTTATATGATCGAAATGGAATGTAAATATATAAAAAGAAACACAAAAAAAAAAATAAATAAATAAATAACAAAAAAATAAAATATATATAATAATCATAATAAGCAAATTCGTCGTCGGTTCTTGGTAAAATCAAAAGCAAAATTTTATTTTAAAATAATTTTTAAAATATAAATTTTATTTTAAAAAAATTTTGGGTGTAATGTAAGTATAAAAAATAAATAAATAAGAAAAATTTGTAAAAATTAAAGAAAAACAAAAATTATTAGAATCATTAAAATTAAAACCATGAAAAAAAAGGAAACAATTTAAACAATGTTCTTACCAAGTTTGAATGTTTGGTAAAAAAAGTTTTCGAAAAAATTTTAAAGCAAAGTTTTAAATTGTTTTCAATAGCAAAGCAAAAATTAAAAAAAAAAAAAAAATATCAGGTTCATAATTCCTTATATCTCTCTGCATATACTTCCCTTACACTTTAAAAAGAATTCGACTTTACGCGAATTTTTGATACTCACCACCTACGGAGAGAACGTTTATCTGAAAGCATAGTAAATATTTTTACAGTCGGACAAGGCCGGCTATTAAATACCCTACACCACCTTGCAAAATATAGCACTTATCTTCACTTATTTTCGTCCTCATAGTGTACGAAAAACGGCATCTTGTTACCATAAAAAAAGTTTACTTTTCAAGATAACGTTTATACGGGAAGTTCTTGGGCTTGGGTGGATCGATTTAACCCAAATTATGTAAAGAGTATTTTTTAATCAAAACACGTCTTATGTTTTATCTAATTTCAAATTTCCGATTTCCGAATTCCAAACATTAGATTTCGCTGCAAAAGCCTAGCCTTATATAGGGAATAGTGTGAAATGTGCCCAAAATTTTGCACAGGAAATTAATATAGCAAATCACTATACTAGGAATTTATTTGGAAGGGATTTTACAAAAAAAAAAACACTCTAGTCGTATCTAAATTTTTGGCTTTCATTTCTTAAGGCAAAGAAAAACTTCGTCCTTAGACTAAAACCTGTTAGCTTATGAAATCCTATTAAAATATTTTGAAAATAGTGGTCTATGGATACGCATCAGAAATATAAATAAGCAACCAATCTTAAATCGTTTCAGATAGTTATTCTGAAATGATTGCTATAACAAGAAGTGGACCTATCTCAAGTCGTTCCGTTTAATTTAACCTCGTACTACAAGGGATTTAAGGTATGAAAGCGAAGCATTCATGTCGAAAATCGAGGTTTTGTTTTATCGATTAGATATTCTTGTCAGACCGATCCTTAATAGACGACGGTAATGACATAAACATTTGTGTGTAAATTTAACATTTAAGGCATTTGTCAAAAAAGTTAACTAAACAAAGTTTTTTTAGGGTTGATCTATATTTCGTCAAATATTATAAATTACTCGTGAAGAGATAAATTCGTTATTAAAATTTGTTATTAACCATTTTCAAAGGATGTCGAAACAATTTTGGACTTAACTAACAAAGACGCTTTTCAACTACCTTAACAGAGTTCTGTTGTGTAGTTAACCTTAGCTATACCAGCACACAATTGGATTTGAAGCCCTTTCTATCCAAATTTGGGATCGGTAGATACCTCATGAATCCGTATCAAAATACCTTTTAAACAAACTAAACAAAGTCAAAATCGGTTTTCCAAAATCGTTCTCATCATGTTTTTGAAATTTGGTACTTTAGCGTAAATCAACTATGGGAAAATGGTTTAATTCGAGTGTCTGATGCAGCCAAACCAAAAAACTGCACTCTATAGAATCTGTACATCCATCCTACAAAAGATCCATACTGTTGTTGGAAAGTCCGTATTCTGAGACATTGTAATTATTCACTTACGAGTTGTATGAGTGGTTATCGTCCGATGATTAAAAATAACTTTTCGAGTCCAGGATTAGTTTCTAAAATCTTCTCCGCCGGGAACAAGAATTGTTAAACGAGATTGTACCCATTATGGCGAATGCAGTGAACGTCGAGAACATATTAACGAAATCGTAGCAATAATTCTATATAATTGAAAAGTGAAGTTGTAAGAGATAACTGACATTCTAATCATATTAGAAAATGTTGGACTAGGTTAGTGCTAGGTTTTTTATAGAAATGTGGGCTTGAGAAGGCTTTCGGATTTTTATTCACAAGGAAGTAAGTAACACAACTTTTTCAACGGAAAATTATTTCGAAACTTTTGATTGGCGCTGTTGAGACTTATAACTCAACAGGCAAATACTGGTCACAATTGACTCAGTAGACATCAGTACGCATCCGCCAACTAGAGCAATATAAAAGAACATGCAATCAAACTTCTCAACCACTTACGTCTCTTCGTTTACAGTATTCTTTGCATTTTTGCTTTCCCAGAATAGGAACAAGAAATGCCCCACAAGAAGTTTTAATTAATATGCGATGCTTTGTCATATTAAGGAAATTTTTGCATAGATATAAATGATAGCATTTTTACTTATTTATTACGAAATTACTCATAGATCTGCTAAATTACGGATTGCAGCATTTATTTATTCCAATTTTTAAATTATAAGATTAGCATAAGATGGTTACGAAAAGATTTCCTGATTCACAATTCAATTGATTAAAAACAAATATAGATAAATATAGAGACGCATTGTATTGTCCTTGTAGCTTCGAGGATTATCGAAGTATTGTTGCAATATTTATTGCACAGCCACATAAATGTGTATATAAAATAATAAATCAATAATAAAATACAATATATAAATAAAATAAAGTCATGAAAAATATTAAAATAAAAAAATAAAAGCAAAGAATACCGTATAGCACACAATAGTTATTCATATAAGGCTTTATCCGGGAAATGGTCGAAGAAGTGATCCGAAACGAAAGATTTTCGTGCCTGAGCCAAAACAAGTCAGTTTAACAAACGCTTGAAACGATTGAACGCTAGAAAACAAGACGTACAGACGGACCGACGGACAGTCAGACAGACAGACAAGCTTAGATCAGATTCAGAAAATGATTCTTAATCGATCGGTATAATAAAAGTCCTTTTGGGTGGTGCACACATTCGCACAAACTTACTACACCCCCACACCATAATTGGTGTAAGGTACAGAATATAGGACATAACAATAATGGTAATATAATACATATAAAGTATATAATATATAATTTGGAATAATAATATAAACCAGACGACTTGTATAACATAATAACAAGATTTAATTAAATGACTTATTCATTTTCACCATTAATCTATGCATTCTAGACGATATAAGAAATTTAGTATATTATTGTCGTGGTTGTGGGTATATACAAAAAAAAAAAAAAAAAAAAAGATTACAATTCCCAAAAGAATGGATTAAAAAAACGTTTGAGTTCGATTTTAGTTTTCACATTTTATTAAGATTTCGATATTCGGTCCGCATTGTCTTCTTCAAGATATTTTAGTTAAGCATTTTGCTCCCGCATCCGCTATCGTAACAAGGATCTCTGTTCATCCAATCAATCAACCTATTATAAATTCCCATACATTTGATTTGTTATCCCATCATTAAATTTACCGAGACCATCCATCCGTACACATTTGCCATCAATTGTATTAGAATTCTTTTTTTTTTTTTTTTTTTTTTTTTTTTTTTTTTCTTTTAAATATTGAATTTGTGTTCTCTTGTTTTTTGTTCAATTTTTTTAAATGGTTTCGCCTACTGGAATAATATATATAATGTCATCCCTACAAACAATAAACGCGTTTATGTAGTCATTTCAGGTAATTAATTGTGTTATTTGTTAGTAAAACGAATCAGAAAACCATTCTGTTTTAATAATTTTTTTTTTTTTTTGTTGTTGTTGAAGACAAAGGCTCATATAGGCCATCATATATGACATGTCATGTTATGTCAGAGCAATTATTTACATTCCATCACATAATTTTAATAGTTTTTCATACACTCTTAGGTTGGACAAGTGTCTTACTGTGTGTTGCTTATGCAAACTGATAAGAATGCACCAATATTTATAGCACACAAGCTAAATAAGTCGTTACCACTATTTATGGTTATGCATCCCGTCTTACATGTTTCTCTCACCATATCAAACAGAGTCAGTCCCTAAGTCAAGTACACGGCATTCGCGGTAGCTTTTCTGACTTATGACAAACTATTTTGCGTTAGAGAGATCCTCTGTTTATAGACGTCATTCGATAATCGTGAGCCATTAAGAATCACCCTTTCATTTGGAGAGTAGCGCCAATTTGGTATCAACAAGCACATGATGCAAATTTAAGATTCTTCGTTAGAAGCCGCTTGCCCTTGTCTGAAAATATATTTTCCCATATGAAATTGCCCCAAATTCTAACTTGTTCTGACTCTCTGGGAAGTCAAGGGAAGATCGCGAAGGTAAACAAAGGCAAACTTTTGGTTTTCTATCTTAATTTTTCTGCGTTCATAGTCATGATGCCACTCAGCGTAGCGTAGGGTGATCAGCCACTGGGCGTGGTGAGAGCGAGACTTACCTAAATCCTCTCTCTTTCCTTGAGTGATACAAACATTTGCAATGCAACTCTACACCAGGCAAAACCTCTTCACGCAATTTGAGCTAACCACAGTCACCGCTACACTCACGCCACAGCCTCTTCTCCCTGTCAAGCCGAATCGGACAATAAGACTATTGTCTAAGCTATTTTAATACATTCGGCAGACGTGTGAAGCTGTACTATGGTACCTGGGAAAGCTGGCAGTCCACAGATAATTAAATTATAAAAAATCAAGACCTCTATTATGTCAATAGTTTGCAGATTGTTTATAAATGGAAACAAATGGAACAAATTCGTCTTGCCCTAAAGTCGAAGGCTTCAAGTTTATATAAGAATAAGTTGAACGTTTTTCTGACAATAATAAGAAAACTAACTGGTGGTAATTTTTGAAGTGCAGGAAGGCGGATTAAGTACATACAAAAACCTTTGTGGCCACAAACCTTAAAACAAAATTGCAAATATTAATTTTATTTTTTTCGTTCTACTTTCCTTATATCTCCTCACGAAACGGGATAACAGAAAAATCAAACCTTCTATGTATCTTTAGAAACTTTTGCGATTTCTTTTTGATAATTACAAGCTTGAGAAAATGTTCCGAATTTTATTAATCTCGATCGGTCGAAAGATCTGTTTTCACCTTAGTTGGGTAGTTTTGAAAGGGACTACGGTTCACGGTACGCTGGTAACTGTCTCTAACATTTTGCTCAAATTCATTGACGACGAGCGAACGAGTCAATTAACTTTATTTCGTAATTTTCTTCGTTGTCGTACTTAGTCGGTGCGTAAAATGGGAAGGGTAGTATTGGGCAAACCATGCTCATGTACAGAAGGAGAGAGACAAAGAGAGACGCAAAAACTGTAAATCACATTCGAAAAGATTAGGGAACTCTTTAAACGTGGCATCAACTCTACGAAAGTTTAGACGGTAGTAGTTAAAGGGGGAGTGACAGATGAAAAAACATTTCAACTATTTTTTTTTTTTTTTTTATTCTCTTTATTTGATTTTCTTTATCTCTTTACGACTGCCTTTTAAATTGTTTATGCATTTTTATCTCTTCATTAAATTTCAATCCAAGCAAATATGTTATGTATTTTAAAGCACATTATATCGTCTACATATGCAATAACATAAAATAAATATAAATATAAATGCTCCCATATACATACATAAATAAATAAATGTTATAACAAATTTCTCTACATTGCCACAAGATTGATGTAAAATATTTCTGCAATAATTATTTTTTTAATGTGGTCGCGAACTTACGATGCGATGATGTATTCATGTATGTGTTAACCAAACAACGAACAAACAAACTTTGCCTGATGTGTTGCTTGAATCGACGAAACGAAATATTTAGTCATTAGTTGTAAGTATAATTATTTAAAAATAAAACATCAATTAACGAAACTTCAATTTACGAAAATTCAATTCGATGTACATTTGAGGTTTGCTTAAAAACCATATATAACGATTATAAAGCGATTTTGTTTATAGAATACCAAAAATGAAGAGTTTTTGCCATGCAAAGGATTACCTTTGACGGGATATACATATCTTAATATGGTTAGTCGGTCACTCGGCAAATCTCTCCTATTCGCGTAACAAGCCGACTTCTCTCAAAGAGGAATGAGTAAAGAAGAAGAGATAGATAGGTAGCCGAGTGAGTGTGTGTCCAATCGGGAAATGTTATGGTTTTGCTAGCTACAACCGAAATAAGCTCTACTTTAGATGGTAGGGAAACCGAAATATGGATCAATGCGACCTCTTAGATCGTTAGTCCGAATCACTTTTCATCAAAGAACATTGAGTATTAATTCTTGCTATCATGCAACTGTTTACTTTGCATAAGAGTCTTTCTAAGGGAGATGGTCCGAAAAATAGATCTCTGCGATCCAAAACAGAGTGATACAATATTCATCACAGAACATTAGGAAGCATTTCTTGTAGCCATACAAAGGGTTACTTGATATGAGAAGCTTTACACGGGAAGTCGACCGAAAAATAAACTCCTGTGATCCAAAGGGTACTGTACGATAAACTTTTCATTATTTCGGACTAATTTTCTTCACAGAAAATTAAGTAATAGTTCTTGCTAACGTAAACAGGTACACTTTTGTAAGATTATTTACCGGAGAGATATCTGAACAAATAGCCCCATATCGACAAAATATTCTATATTCAGTTTGTATGGTAAACTGGTGCTTTTCACCGATTTCTACTGAGAGATATTAAAAATAAAAACAATCTTTTCATATAACGGCGAAATGTTTTTGCCGAATACCATTTTTCATTAGAATTCGTCTTCGGATCAAAACATTACCATACCATTTACCATATGTTCGTCAAAATACCTTCTTCGGAGAGTCCTTAGGGAATTCCAAATCAATTTATAAATAATTATGGGTCTATAAACTTCAAAGTCTTTAAACTTAATTTGGAAATTTGCTCAATAACGAAAACTCCGAGCAAAGATATGCCTGATAAACTGACCCAGCTAGTTTAGAATCTTCACGATTTTACGCGAGCTTTGATAAGAAATATATTGAGCTTTAAAATCCGGATTAGGTTTGCATTTTACAACGATTCAAAATTAAATCTCCACAAGGTTAAGAGATCAAAGAGCCCGGAAAAGAAGAAAACAAAAATACGACGAAGATAGTGTGAATCAAAGCATGCGTTGTACATTGACATACATAAAGCAGCGCAGTGAAAATGAAAATATTTCGTGTATTTTTTAAACAAACCTCGTGTAGATGAAATTTCAAAATTTTTATTGAATTCAAAATTTTCGTAAAAACGAGGCAAGTTACCTCTAAGAATCTTTCTGCATTTCAAGTCGAATTAACAAATTGCTTTCTTTTCTGTGTACGTTCTTCGCTTTGTTTACGATAGGACAATAAAAATGGAGCTTTGCGCAGATTCTACGAAGTTATTATGGAAATAGGTGGTGAAGTCTTGGATGACATAAACAGTTTAGGTGACGTAACTATTTTGGCGCCCAGCAATGAAGCTTGGAATGCTTCGAATATTGAAAACATAATAGGGTATGATGTGAAGATTTATATAAATCTATACAGCCAAGGGCACATAAATAGCCATTAGAAGGGATAAAAAGATAAATTAAAAGTTTTATTTAAAAAAAGAGATATAAAAAATTACACTTTTATTTTCAAGTACAGTTAGTATCCGTGATCCGTTAGGTCTATTTTAAAACATTTTAAAACAAGTTGTTTCTCCTGTGACGAATAAAGGCATCTGCAGTTTATGTGACTTTGTAGCCGTGTCCTTAATCCAATTTTACCCGTATTCCCGACCAACTTGCGCGCAAGAACATCGAATGTCACTGACAAGTTTGAAGCCGATAGCTTCATTCTTGCAATCAAGAGGCTATTTACAATAGACATCAGACAGACGGATAGACGGACATGTTTAATTTGTTGCTGTCACCCAATATGAAAATTTAGTTTTTTTGCTTTTTTCTATTTTTATTTTTATTTTTTTTTTTTAAGATAACGGTTATTCCACCACGACCGAATATAATTTTCTTATTTCTTATATTAATTGTCAAGAGGAAAGAAAAATGTATGTACTATTTAAGTGTTCATGGCTGTATATTGTATTTATATACAAATTTTTCTAAATTAGGTCAATTTATTTATACATTTACTTACACTTTATAAATTGCGTTTATAAATAGAAATCGGGAAAAAATGCGCGATATTGTTAATATGCATATAATCAAAGGACGAGTTGATGTCGAAAAAATTAAACAATCGAATGAAAATATGGTAAATTTCTTGAGTAGTGTACTTGTGTAAGCCGCTTGGCTTATATAAAATAAAAAATTTATTTTTACTCATAGATTGGTCAATTTCCCACCATACATAGCAGTACATTTCTGTACTTTAATGTGAATGGCGATGATACAAACGAAGTGGTTACCGTGGAGGGAGGTGGCGTCAATGCCACCATTATTGTACCCGATATTGCTCAAACGAATGGTTTTGTTCATATAATCGACAGAGTTTTGGGCGTACCGTATACCACGGTATTAGGAAAATTAGAAACGGATCCCATGTTAAGGTATTCTTCCTTTTCATTTTAAGTTTACATTAGAAATAAACTTTGCATAAATTATGAAATTCTACAGTGATACCTATCGTATGGGACAATTTTCATCGTTCAATGATCAACTAAATAATACCCAACGCCGTTTCACATACTTTGTGCCACGTGATCGCGCCTGGCAAAAAACTCAATATGATTATCCTTCAGTTTATAAAAAATTGTTCATGAAAGATTTCGCCTATCATGTAAGTTAAAAGATTAAAATATAAACAGAATAAATATAATTAATTTTAAAATTTTACTTTCAGTCACGTTGCATTATGGAACGACATCTATTAATTGCAGATGATATATACACTATGAAGACTTTAGCTGAAATGACCAAAAAGCAAAATGATTCAATCATTTTACCTACATTTAGAGATTCTTTGAAAATTAAAGTTGAAGAAGAAGTGGAAAGTAAGTATGAACGCATACAATAACTACATATTTTCACGAAGAATCAATCCTCTCTCATTCCTATCGTTCTTATGCATGGATTTCCTTATCGAAAAGTGAAATTTTAAGCCTTTAATAGGGAATAATTTCATTAGGTGCCTGCATGTATTTTGATCATTTTCGAAGCAAATTGATAAAATATATTTTAATGAAAATATTTCCCATCATATCTAGAAATTTTTCTCATCTTTCTGACAACGTAGCGATATGATGATGAATAGTTCTAGGATGGTGTAGGATATTTAATGATAGGCCGTGCCCTACTGTAAGGAATTTGTGGGCATATTTTCCATAAGTTAATTGATTTCTTTGGTATTAATAGAGGGATTTCTTTGTTTTTGGTTAACAAGTGAATTTTTTCATTCCATAGATAGACGAATGAATGAATGAAATTATTTTGTAGCTGCTCCCAACCCTTACGTCCACGAGAATAGCTTCGATGTTGTCATCTTTTTTAATATTTTTTTCCAATAAAATTATTTTTCTAGTCTGCTTAGTGACGTCACCCAATATTATTATTTTACTCCATTCCATTCCAAAGAAAAAGTCAAAAAAATCCCTTGTCTTATTCTCTTCTTAAGTGGAAAAATATAATTTGTTGCTATTTAATAAATTAATTCAAAATATTTATCTGTTGGCTTAACTAAGCGGTGGATGTCAAAGACACGCCTCAATTCGAATATAAATGTCTTTTACACTCATATTGTTTTTCTTTGTCATCTCTCTTGTTTAGTCCACGAAAGAAAACTTTTTCATATCGAAAATAACTTTTGTTGAAAGCTAACCTCCATAGATATATTTACGAAAACCTCCTCGGGAACATATTTCTTGCGCAAAATTTTTGGAATACAATGCACACATATTTGTGCTTGGGGTAGAGAAATTCTTACAACTTATTATTTAAAGCAGTGAACCCACAATGATGTCTCGTCTTTGTGAGATAATAGGCCTTAACTCATCCACGTTTTTCGACTCTAACATTACAAAATAATTTGAACTTTCATTTATACTAAACTCATTTCCTTCTCTATATAATTTAAAATTTGAAAAAAAAAAAAAAAAAAAAAAAACAAAGACTTGCATGATGATGATTCAACTTCATGGACTGGTGAGTGCATTCAAAAAAAAGCTTCTATTTTTCATTAGCTTAAATAAAATACAAGCTCATTATTGTTATTAAAATCAAAATTGTTTTTTTTTTTTTTTTTTTTTTTTTTAATTTTAGGTTATGTCATCCTTTGGAATTATAAACGGATTCGCGTTTTTCGTCCAGATGTGGAATGCACTAATGGCATCATACATGTGATTGATTATCCGATGCTGGAGAAAAAGGATATTGTCGTGAGCGGAGGTAGTTATCAGTTACATAGCAACTTCTGTATAGTGTTTGCAAATTTCATCATCTTAGCAATAGCGAAAAATCTTTTCTAAACTTAAACCAAAGCAAGCAAAAAAAAAAAAAATAAAATATTAAATGCAGAACCAATTGTGTATAATGACTAAACCAAACTAAAAAAAGAAAAAAAAAAAATGCATAACTAAAAACCAAACATAATGAAAAAAAAAAAAAAAAAAAGAAAAAACAAATCGTGAACCTAACAGCAACTTAAATTAAATTACATCTACTATAGCAGATAAAATAGAAATCACTTAATGAATGCAATTTCTTGCACGCATAGATGTTTCATTATGTACTCACATACATCATCAAATTCAGACGAGTTAAGATTTATCGCTTCATGGAAACAAACGAAAAAATATTTGAATTCATTTCTTAAGGAAAATGAAAAAAAAAAAAAAACATAAGCCTTACATAGCCCTCCTTAACATCGTATTCATAATACATTTACACATAATAATGCATATATATACACAGAACTATATATATGTATACATATATATACATATATATAAATATATATATATATATATATATATGTGCATATATACACAGAACTATATATATATATATATATGTGTACGTATATTTATTTTAATTTATAAGTTTTTGTTTATACGATAAAATTAATTGAAAAACCAAAAAAAATAAAAAAACAGTGGCAAAAATTTAAGTAATCTTTACATGACATTCAAAGCCTACAAATATAAATGCGGAAAAGAGAAAACAATTTTCTTTAAAAATCAAGATTGTAAAAAAAAAACACAAGAAAAAATCGAAACTAAAGACTACTTCTTGCTGAGTTCATTCTAGTAAGTGAGCAAAAAAACATTTCTTTTCGTTCCTTCTTTCTTCGGATGAATGGTAAATCTATTTGCTTTAATTCATTTTTGCCTTAAGTTGAAGCACTTGGGTAATTTTCATAATGTTTCATAATTTTCGTATATGTTGGTTGCATTAACTGTAGTGCGCTAATGAAAATGCCCTCAATCCATGTACATCTAGACGTTTATCAAATAGCTAAACGATACTTTTCCAAACCGTACGCTTTCTACGATCATTACCTGGCGAACAATTCTTAAAGAGTTTAACTTAACTACTGCGATTGCTGCGGTTAGTTAATACCGCTTGCACACTGTCGTTGTCAAGGCCAAGCCATTAAGCTACTGTTAGCATCGGAGAAGCTAAAGATTTTCATTAAGTAAAATGGGAAAAACGGAAATAATGCAAACAATGTTGAGGAATTAACTTAATGAATATTAGGAGCAAATCTTTTGTAAGATACATATACATATATTATTATTATTATTATTATTATTATTAATTTCGCCAGAGAAATAAATTCTAAGACTAAACTCTTAAAAGCACTAGCATCTAAGGCTATCGGCTTTTATTAAAAACTCTACCGCACTTGAGATTCGAACCCACGACCATTGACTTGCTAGCCGAGATTCCTCGCCTTCGGCTACTCAGGCGGATCATATACATATAATTTCTTTCGTAAGCTCGAAATGAAATTGAAAAAACCAAAAATAATTGATTATTGCTAGCACTTAGAAGCATCATCCGCTTTATGGTAGTTCGACCTATATGTAAGCCTTTATGTTCATTTAACTAATACAGCGATTAACACACAAACTTTCTAATTCATGTCACAAATTTTTATTTATTATATACACCACCTAAAAAGTACAAGAAATATATAAGATTTCATTCATCACTCCTGCTTTGTGACAACTCGTAATAAGGGCAAAGTATATCTCTGATCGGATTCAGACCCAATTTCCTATTCTTTTGAGCCAACCGCAAAGCTTTAGAAACTGAGAAAGAAAGCAGAAACTGAACCTGAGATATATATATATATATACATATATACATACACGTATATATACATCAAAATAGAATAGCAAAAGGGGATTGTGATCACCTCAAGGAAATCGTTGTAAACATCTAGAAAAATAAATGAACCAATTCAGCGAAAATTCATAAGCAATCAACCGCGGATAACATGTATACAACGTTATAGTGAAGCAAGGGCGACAATTATTTCTATTCCTACTTCTCTACTTTTGTCATAAAATACCATATTTGAAACTGTATTATCATATAAAATTGAACCTTCCATAGGAAGCCTACAAGAACGAACGATATCCGAAAAGCACGTTTATTAGCCAACTTTTAGCATAAAAAATGTATCTATCAGATCGCTACTCTTGATCAATTTTCATCGTAAAATGTTAAATCTTGACTTATGTACACTTTTCACATTCATTTAGTACGTCGTCGCCCTTTTTTACCCTACACGACTTATGGTCTAGGGCCATATTAAGATGGTGCAGTCGTATGTAACATTCAGACGGATTTGAGAGAGACCCACCTTTTATTATACCAATCGATTCACTTTCTGTCCGTCTATCTGTCCGTCCCTATTGTTTCTTTTTTTTTTGTCTAACCCATCAGTCAAACATTTTTTCTTTGCCTTGACTATTTATGTGAAATTTCAATAAGTAAATATATTAAATTAAATGTAGGCTTGAATTCATATGTTAAAAAATCAAAACAAAAAGAAAAAAAAAAGAAAAGAAAAGTGAATAAAGAAAATATAAAATAGTAATAAGATATAGCTAAATATTTGTAAACTGAATAAATCAATGAAAAAAAAAAACTGCCGATATTTTCTTAACAATTAAAAATTCAAAAACTTATCAATCATAAGCGCCTCATAATCATAAGTTTTCATATATCTTGCATATAGCATATGTGTGTGTGTGTGTGTGAGGGTGTTCATAACAAAAACCAAAAAAAAAAAACAAAAGTCCTAACATAATCACTGCTATGTGTTTTCTTTAATGTTTTAGTAGAATTAAAAAAGAAAAAGAAAAAAAAAAAAAAAAGTTAAATCCAAATCTGACCAATCTCACGCTTACATGAGTTATTTTACAAACACACATAACATTTTTTTAAAAAGATTTAAAAAAAAAAATACTCTTCTACCCATCACCTGAAGATTAAAAATGTATTAATTTTGTTGTTCGCGTTACATATCCAAAGAGAAGGAGTTTTACAATCAAATAATTTTTGATAAGCATATGATATACTAGATCCACTGTCTGTCATTCCATTCATTTATTTAATTAAGATAGACAGCGGACACTTAAAACTGCACTTAAAAGATGGATCGATTTTTGAATGGCCTTGAAATAGCAAGAAAAATGAAATTTCCCCAGAAAGATTACAAGGATAAGTCATTAATGTTGGATAATACTTTCAAAAAAATTCTTGCTGTACCTTATGCCACTTGAGATACGAGGCCGTATTAAGTTTTTGTAAACGTATGCAACACAGAGAAATGCTTGAAATCTACCCACTTTTTATTCGACCGAAAACGTTTCCGAATCGATCTAAGTTTGGCTATCTTGTTTTCTTATATTTCACCCATAGCCCGCAATTTTTCAGATATACTAATGAAATTTTGTGCAATAACGTTGACCCAAGAAAAACCACTACCGAATGTGATCCAGATCGAACTACTTCGTATATAACGCCTAATTTTGAAAAGTCAATGTATGTATAATTGTAGAGCGGTGTAAGGTATTGAACGGTAGGCCAAGCCCTGATTTAGTGTTTCTGTTTATTTTTATTTATAATTCTCTTGAAAAAAGAAAATTTTCAAAACTTATTTTTACATCTACGTGATGGGTAACTAATATTCGCCCTAAGGCGAATACAATTTTCTTAATTTGCAAGTGATTGTATCCTGAGATCATGTATGTATGTATTACGCGTATATAAAATGTTTACAAGTTTTTTTTTTTTTCAAATTTTTACTCTCTATGGTTTGCCTTTAGAATTTTCATCTGTATTTAGAATTCATTCACTAAATTATATAAAAATTTTCATTTTAGCATTTACTTTCGAATTGTTTAAAAGTTAAATAGAGTATAAAACTAATAATATCAAATAACACTTTGACTCTTATTCTTGCCTCCCTCCCTCGCCTAACACAAAAAAAAAAAAAAAAAAAAAAGGATCTCTTTAGCTATCTTCCTAACCATTGATATTAAATATTTTTTTATTATTTTTGAATTCTATTTATTATAGAAAATCAAATATATTAAATAAAAATTATTATTATACTTATATATATTTTATAGGTTAGGCTTTAATAAAAACCAAAATCTCTCTGTAGCAATTCAACCACAAACCCAAAACAAAAACTCTCTTCTACGTTTAACTTCTTCACATAACTAAAAACTTGAAACTGAACAACAACAAAAAAAAAAAAAAAATTACCTATAAATGAAAATAGAAAAAATTAATAAGTAATATTATATATATATATATATATATATATTTTGTCAAAAAATTAAAAACAAAAAAAAAAAATCGAAATTTGTTTAATTCGTTACAATTGAGCTTAAGTAGTAAAACATATGAATAATGAAACACATACCGTTTCGAACAAAACAATTGCAAATTAATTGATTGACATACATGCGACAGTAGTTGAACTTTTCAAAAAAAAAATCTACATTTTCATATTAATTAATTTATTTTTATATTTAACACAGGGAGCAAATGTTTTATAACACATTAAAATGCGCGTCGAAGTTTCCACTGATTGTAGGAATGAAATTAACACGTTTCCAAGGAGAAATATATATTTGATAAAAGTGTTTGTTCAAATAAGAAATCGATAGCCGCTCGTTTATACTTTTGTTGTCTGTGTTTTCCTTAGAAGAAAAAATTTAATTTATATTCACATTCACTGGTCACTTTCCTCGTCACTTTTTCGCGTCAATAATTTCCAATTTTTTTCCCATATTATTATCCACAGTTATATTTTTTAATTAATGGCCATAAATTAAGTTCTCAAAAGTATTTCCTTAATATTGTCTCAGTGTTTTTTCGAAAGTCATCTAAATTGGATTATGTCTTGTCCAAGCTCGCGAAAAAACTACATTCTATACCGATGTGGTCCTATTATCTGTAACGAATAATAAGTGGGCAATTATATCCTTGCCGCAAATCGTAGAGATTAGGATTAGGAAAAAGTTCCAGGCAACAGGTTAGAGCCTTTAATTTTTTCATCGCGCTTTGTAATCAACCGCCCGGATATAAATACAGTTAAGCTTGCTTTACTACGTTTTTTTTTTTTGGGCGGTTTTTTTTATGCCGCTCGTTTTGCGATCCCTATCTATAAGCCAAAGCCAGCTTGCACCGTGCCCTGGGCGATTGCCTGGCATCT